CAGTGTTTGGAAGCATTCATACGTGAATCTCATGTGTGTATGTGACCACCTCCCTGATCATGTGCCCTAATTTGTAAAATTGAGATATTACTGATACTTAGTCTACAGGATTCTAGTAGAGTTCAAATAAGTTAATATAAAGTACAGCACTTTATCAGCTACTCAACTCTGTATAAATTATAATTATACTAATAATTAGCTACAGTGGTAAAGTATGTGATTTTGTATAATTGCAGTTTTAAAAAATACCTTTCCTTGAGAGAGTTTAAAATGTTATATATGTGAAGCATCTTAGTTTCATTCTGCCTTCTTACCTGTTGAAATGGTATTTTAAAAATAAAAAAGTACTCAATGTTTTGAGCACTTACTATTATAGCCAGACATTCTGCTTAGTGATTCACATACCATACAGTTCCTTTTATCCTCTCAATAACCTTAAGCAATAGGTTTAATTGAGATCTCTATTACATGAATGAAGAAATAAAGGATTAAGAGAAATTAAGCAGATCACCTAGTACAGGTCATTGTATAAATGGCAGAGTTAAATTTAAGCCAAGGCTATTATGACTGTGCTGGATTGCACAGTATATCTAATTAAACATTACCTTATTTTTTTTTAAAAAAACTCTACCTTCTTCTTAAAGGCAATAAGGAAAATGCCACTCCAACAATTTATTTTCTTTCATATTTTTGCATAAACTCTAACTAAATAAAGGCACAACAACATGTGCACTATGGAAGAAAATGAAAAGACAAAGTCGTCTTGTTTAAAAACTACTACTTTAGCAAAAGATTAATTTCATTATATAACTATATAACAAACTTACTTCTGTTCCTGGGTGTAGGAGGCCTGAGATATAAGAGTGGAGAAGAGGAGGCAGCTTAATGTAATGTAGTGTCTTTAAAATATTTTATGTCAGTTTCCACAGAGAGAAATATCTTTTACACTGAAGATCAACACATATACGCAAATGCAAAGGCCCCGAGACAGGATGTGCCTGGCATGTTTGAATAAAACATATGTGGCATTTAAAGTCATATTGACCTGCACCTACTGGTCATTGGGCCTAGGACAAATAACTAAATATTTGTTTTTAGGGCTTTTTTGTAGTTTGGGGACAATTTGATTTTAAGAATAATTTTTAAACGTTATGCCTTTCTTTAATGTTTTTTGAAATTACTGAATGAAAAATAATTTCAATTAATTAATGTTGAAATATGTCTTTGGGAATTAATATTAAAAATAATCATATTAATGTTTAATATGCTTCCCCCTCTTCCAAATTACACATCATCCTGGAGATCCTGGTTATCCAGGCCTCTGTTTTATCCTCTGGTCCATTTGAACCCTCAGTTGAGAATAAATTATTCAAGCCCCAGTGAGTCTCAGAAGTTTCTTCATTTGTAATGTTAGCACCATAACTCTAATGTATACACTGCACCTCCTTTCTGGTTCGTGGCAGGTTTGTTTAAAACTTGTCTCCTTATTTTCTAATCACACCTAACGCTGGGGGTACAGGATCATATCTTTCCTTTAGTATTCAGCTTTTTCCTTGAAACATTTTGGTAGTATAAATGATCAAGGAATGACATTTAAATGTACTTCTCAATAACAGGGCAGCAAATAAAATTTGAATAGTATTTTGGAAGATAACCAAAATTTTATTTCCCAAATTCTTTTTTAAAAATAGTACATTTTCATTGACCTGGAATATTAAACCTAATTTAATGCCCTGTAAAGGCGATGAGACTGTATTAATTGAATCACAGAGGATCGAATAGGCACAAAAGTTACTAATTTCTAAGAATAATTCAGCAACAGCTGTGGAAAGTTTCAGAAAACAGTGATCTATTAATCTGATGATCAGTAAGAGAACATGCTTATAAGGAAATTAAGTTTGTGTTCTGAGGAAAGTTTGTAAGTGAATTCATCAATGGGATTATGAAGTTGTAAAACCAAGTATATGTCAAACAAGTTGGTCTGGATATATAAAGTTCTTTTCTGCCTCACAGAGACCTGAATTTGAACCTGGATTTTTTTCATCTAACAACTTTTTACATATACTGTGCAAACTATACAATTTTTAATTCAGGATTTAAAAGAGGTTGGTGTTTACACTTTGCACCAGAATTTAATGCTGTTTTTTAAAATCTAATTTGCTTACTATTTTGTTATTCGCTGACTCAGAGTAAACCTTATACTGAGAAAAAGATGTTTAGAATCTTTCCTGTAATCTTCACCTTTGTTTTGTTCTAGCTTGTTTTCCTCCTCAGTCTACCGTGGATATTTGTTATAATTTGATTCATTTAATATGAAAATATTCCCCTATGGAGAGATAAGGGAATAAATAAAAGAGTATGCAGGGCTATTTATCTTTGACTTGTAACCCTGGGAATTAGAGTGAATTCCTCTTTCCCACTATTGAAGAGTTTACTTCATTATAAGCAAAAACACTCAACATTATTCCGTTTTTGTTAACTTTATTTTCTGCAGCCTTCTGAGCACAAAGGGGTTTATACTCTGGATTTTCCTGGAGCTTTACAAAGCTGCAAGAACCCTTTGTTTTATGATCTCTCCTGTGTGAATTCTAAGAATCTAATAACTGTGCCATAACTACGTACCTACCAGTGATAACTTTTGAGAGTTCATTTATCTTTCATAAACCTTGACACTGCACTGTCTGTGAGCTGCCAAATTTACTATTTGTAATAGTAAAAAAAAAAAAAAAAAAAAGTTACATGTTGGAGACGAATGTGCAGAGAAGAAACTAGAATAAGGCCAAAAAAATGATAGATTGATCTTTCACTCAATTCTTTTTGCCACTCATTTCTAGAGTTGTATTCATGATCCCTAGTAACTACCTCACATCCCAACCTCAACTTGGTGCCTCCCACACTCTCACCACTTCCCCTTGCCTGCCAACTCATCTGCTTCAGTGCACAGACTACAGCAACTACTTGACTGGTGTCCTTCAATCAGCTGACTCATCTACTTCCTGATTACCCTACTCAGTTCCTCCCTCTTCCTTACTCGGCTTAGATCCAACTCTCTTCATTGTAATCAATTATCCTGATTATCAATCCTTCCAGTAAGCTCAAATAGTGAAGATCAAGCCCTAATTCAATCCTGCTCTCTTCTTCTTTGTGCTTGTACCAAGAAGGTGAACATTTCTGAAAACAAACTGTTAAAAACAACACAAGGCCCAAAATGCAGTCCCTTGTGCCAAGCCTCACATCACCAAGCCAAGACGTAACACCTAATTTATTACAGTTTCAGCCTCTCCTAGGAATGGAATCTTAAACCATTTAACCTGAAATTACCTGCTTAGCACTAGTGAGGTCATCTGCCTGAGAGACCCCTGCCATCCTCCAAAAGAAGGTGACCTTGCCACAACCAACCTGCTTTTTGCCAGTTGTTTAACTTCTTTGTCCCACTCTCTTCTGCCTATCAAAGCCTTTCATAAAAGCCATTCCTCAGAACTCCTTTCTATCCAATAAAGAGAATGCTTCCCGATTCATGAATCATTGATTAAAGCCAATTAAAATCTTTAAAATGTATTCAGTTGATTTTTTTTTTTTTTAAATAAAACAAACAAACAATCTCAACCATGCAGAGTGAATTCATGAACACAAATTTCATATGGGTGTGAAGTACTCCCTGGGAGGAAATTCCCTATTATGCTTCCTTTC